AGCACTGGGTTCAATAACCCGAGGAAGAAGAAGAAGAAAGAAGAGGAAGAAAAAAAGAGAAAAAGAGAAAAGAAAAAATGAACGAATTATTTTATTTTATTTTGTAAAAATATAAATAAGAATAAGGTGAGTTGGCATAAAAAAAATTACACGTCTAACATGTCTTCAATTTATCTTTGCCACGTCATCAAAAAAATTATAAAAAATGCCACGCAAGCGAGTTAACGATCGAAATTAACAAAAGGACGAGTTAACGATCGAAATTAACAAAAGGACTAACGGAGTGCATTTCTTAGAGTTGGGGGATCAGAAAAGTGCAAAAAATTGTTAAAAAATAAAAAATGTGCAACGCACTAAAGTTGAGGGACCAAATCTAACATTTAACCTTTTTGGAAGCACAATCTTCAATTGTTATGGTGTTGAGAGTTGTGGGTTTTTAAAATGAAAAATGGGTTTAATATAAGGCTGTCTGGTCAAAACCCATTAACACAAGATAAAAGCCCAACAGGAAATGATCCAGCTGCTTAACATATGGTAAAATTGAAATTTTAACCGATTTTACTTCTGATTTTATGAAATTTTGATTTTAAAATAGATGTTATTCGAAATGCTTATTTGAAATCGTAAAATCATACGGTTTTACTATTTAAATCACGAGTTTCACAACACTGCTTAAGAGTATTTGCTGAAACAGACCATTACCAATCAATTGAGAACCTAAACTCGCCAGTAACTCAAATTAAAAAAACTAAAGACTCAGGACACCTAAATTAATAAAATTATCCTTAAACAATTGAATAAAACCTAGTCATCAAGATAAAGATTTTAACCAGTATAAGTTACGAACTCACATAGTGAATTAGTGACAGCAGTAGATTTTTTTTTTTTTTTTCTTATGAGAAGAGATAGCAGTAGATTTGATTAGTTGTTATCAGACAATTTCATTAGTCCAGTGACTTGCAAAATTGTCTCTTAAGCTGGAAAATGATTTTTAAAAGTTATTTTTCATATATCCTAGTGTTTAGTAACCACTTGAAAATTAGGTGTAACACGAAATAACTCTATTCAATAAAAAATATTTTTACATTAAAGAAATAAAATTTATTTTTCTTGACTTTCGAATATTAAAATTTTTTACGAAATTATTTGAATCTTTTTAATAAATTTTTTGTGTCAATTTATTAAAAATATTTTTATTTTTTTATTATTATTAACATTTTAAGTGCCAAAAACTTTTTAATTTTCTTCAATCACTTTTACATTTAATTAATAAAAAAAAAATTCCAAATAATTTTTTAGAAGTCGTTTTCTCCCAACTAAAAACACATGGACCGGGTCAGGGACGCCATTTTCGTAAATGAGGATCACTAACATTGAAGCAAAGCCTCCTCCAAACTTCTCGTAAACCTTAGATCGATCTCCATCCATTCGTCACACCTTCCCTCACCCGACGACTACCCAGCCACGGACTTGCCGTTGATTACACCCATCTTCACTCTATAGAGTTTCAATCTGCTCAATTAATGGCCATCTTTTTTCTAAAATACATTTACTTGCAAAAGGTCTAGGCAACCGCAGAACGATTGAGAATTTTTTGGGAATGAAAATTTCGTTGTAAATTTCACAATAATTTGACAATATTCACTTGGCATCTTATTCAACCCTTGTAACTCGATGTTGTATATATATAATATAATCAACATCTGGCCAATACCCATGAAGCCCAAGAATTGTCCCACAACCATGGCTAATGTGACAATCCTGGCCTGCCTAATATTTGAATGTCACTCTGCTGTCATGTTGTTCTCCACCAAGTCTTTTGTTCATGGAGCTGTTGTCCAATTATTGATGACGTCGTATACTCATTTTGTGCCTTTCTTATTGTCCTCATGCTTGCTAAGCGTCTTATATAGATAAATGCCCCAACGTCTCTTATAAGGGATTTTGTCCACATCTCAAGGTGTTTTGGCAAGTTAATGAGAGATTTGATAAGGTACTGACTGAGAAAACTAAGACAAGCTAATCAAACTCAAGATAAAAACAAGAATGAAATTGATCAACACCGAGACTTTTTACATGAAAAACTCAACTCAAGAAAGAAAAAATCACAAGATTTAGTCAAAATAAAAAGTTTCACAATAAAAAATAACGAACTTACATGAGTTTGATCTCTAGAGAGAATTACAGGATAACAACTTCAATCTCGTTTCCCCATGTAGAACTGTAGACATACAAAATGAAATCTCAAGATCATATCTTGTTCTCAAGTTTGTTAGAAAAGTCAACTGTTGAGGGGGAGGGAACTCTGGCTTTAGTCCCTTCAGTTTTTCATCTATCTTGCAATGCAACTCCCCTTGCAACACTACTAAGGGTCACCCCTAAATTAAGGAGGGCTAATCCAACAGTTATGTCATTTCAGTCTGCAACAGCTGCAGAATAAAAGTAAAGATTTTAAAAAATGAATCAATTACTCCTTTTTCAATAAACTTTTACAAAAATAAAAATAAATATCATTTTTAAAGAAAAGTGTCTTATAAATTATTTTTTTAAAATTTTTTTATGGACATGTCTATACATTTATTTTTTAATTAATATTTTAAAAAATTAATAGTTAGATTAAAAATTATATTTATATAAATTGTATATGTTAATTTTTAAATTATTTTATTAGGTTTAATTATTTTATTGATTACATAAAATTTAATATTATTAAATAATGTCGATAAATATAATTTTTTTAATAAAAAAATTATAAATAATAATCAATATAAAAATTGATATACATAAGCTAAATTAATAAAACTTTTAATTTAATAATTAATATTTAAAAATATTAATTAAAAAGTCAATTTTTAAACAAGCTCTTTAAAAAGAATTATAAAAAGACAATTTACATTATACAAACATCTTATTTTTAACCTAAATGTCAGGCATACGATTTAGATTAAATATCTAATAAATTTAAAATCAATTCTTATTTTTTTATACAAATTAACTACAAAAATCCACCAACCACTCATACTATCGTCTGTTAGAAAAACCAAAAATTAATAGCATATCTTATTTTTTTTTTCTTTATTTCATATTTCCCCTATCCCCACATTTTTACTTTTGCTATAAAAAAAAAAAAAAATCAAATGGCCATAATTCCCAACTGCCGCCAAGGGGTTGACGACGAATGGCAGCGCTGCTGTTAATTTTACTGTCACTCTCGTTCTCTTCCATAACTTTCGTTTACAGGCCCGGCGACATCGTCCCGATGACCAGGATGGGTCAATACTACTCCGTCTGTATTCCCATCTCGCCCTTTATTACACCCTTGTCTTCCAATGTTCCTCCGTTTTCTCTTTTTCTTCTCTGTGATATTAAGTCTATTGATTTCATGGTTTCAGTCCAGAACCGTGTGGCATGACATGACATGATCGGAAAACATAGCCCCATCTTCGCCGTTAATCGTGAGGTACCCACTACCCCCTTTGGCGTCAATTTATCTGCTTTTTCTCTTGTAGTTCGTTGACTCTCATTTGGGGTTCTTAATTTATCTCTGGTTTGGATTCCGATAGCAAAGCCCACTGGTTATAAGGGCGCCGATCCTTACAAAATGTAAGTTCATTATGTCCATTACATGCTCTTTATTTTCAAACTAAAGACAATTGATATGGTTGAATTCGAACTAGAAATTGAAAGAAATTATAGTTACAAATGTAAGGATGGAAGTCGCTTTATATTGATAGTATGTGGCTGTTTTCATTTACTGTAACATTGCCAAATCAATTCTGCTCACCGAAATTATGTCGTCTAGCTTGTCTATTTTCAGTGTATAAGAATCAACCATCTAGCTTCTGCATTATGTTGGATTCCAATTCGGGGTTAATTTGTAACAGCTTTGCTATTTATATGTTATATGCTAAAAGATTTAATTACATGCAGATCATTTCAAGTTGGAAGAGAGAAGTTTCTGATTCTGTGGCCTTTTCTAATAAACCATAAAATTTTCTGAGGTTCCAACGATTGATGGCCATTTATTAAGACATGTTTGAAACTTAATGTTTTCCTTCATTTTTCTGGTTTTTAGTAAAACTGCTTAGAGAAACATCATAAATAGATTTGTAATTATATTAACTTCTTTGTCAAATTCTTTGTCATTCAGAGGTACTCAGGAGGTGATGATTTGCCGAGTATCATTGCCAAAGTTTTTGATACGCCTCACCATTGTACATAATATCATTCTTACCTTTTGTGTATTAGCTGGCTCATTAATATAGACAAGCGATCAGTGATCATGTACAAAGCAGTAGTATCCATCTTTCCCTTTTAGATTTAGTAGTATGCATGGTTGTGTTGATCTCAAATCTCCATTGATTTTTATGTTAAGATGATTATCAGTTGCTTGCCTCCCCTTTTTTTAAGAAAAAGAAAAAGGGATGCTTCCCAGATGCTTTCAAAGAAGTATGTAGTTGTGATTGCCAAAAAATCTTTTCCATTATGCACTCCCTTTTAAGTGCGAGTGAGTTTGGGCACAAGCTAGAATGAATTCCAGTGAATTTGTAGATCTTTATTATTGGACTTGAATGGGTATTAAAAATGTTGTTTCATCTGACAAGAAACCAAGTTCCTTTCTTATCTGTGAATTTCAAATAAAAATATTCACTGTTCATTTTCTTAAAAGTGTGAAGACTACTTTATAAGAGTTGATCTGGTGGTTTTTTTTT